CTTGGAACAAATTGTTTCATTTGTCTAATCAAGCAGACTAGTAGTAACATCATTCTTCCTGTCTTGGAAAAAAAAAATGTAGTGCGAGTGTTTTGAACCAACATGTTGGCTTTGACATTTGATAATCTTGAAAGTAATTTACTTGTACCACCTAACAAATATGAAGAATCTTCCACTCTCTCTTTGCAGGTTTATGTCATCAATGTTAATAAAAGTTGCCTGTGAACACAGCTCTGTAGTCGCAGTTGTTGGCAAGGGTCACCTTCCAGGAATCAAGAAGAACTGGAAGCAACCTATTGAGGTAATAGACATTTCTTCTTGTTGACAGTTTCAGTAAGACTTGGATATCCTCTGTTGTGCATCGCAAAATATATGAAAACAGAGCTTGATTGATTTTTCGTATTCACATAGTGTAAGACTCAATTTGAGCTTCTTACCCATAAAATTATTGAGAGGCTATTGTGTACTTATTTGCTGCCACAGGTTAAGGAACTACTATCAATACCGTCACCCAAACCTCTCATTTCTGTTGCGAAGATTGTGACAACCCTTGGAGTTGCAGTTGCAGGAGTGGCCATAATATCTGGCATTTACGTTTCAAGCAAGAAATAATCAATCAGAGGTTTTAGATCCAACTGTCGGTAGGGCAATGAATATGAACATCATCAAGGCTCTCTCTTGTGACTTTCAACATTTGAGGGTCATGAACTGTTACTACTTCTCTTATGCATTTGAAGGGAATCAGTACACAGATACAAGGAAATTGTCATTTTGCAAATTTTCCTGTGGACACCTCAAATAGAATATCTGAACTCTAAAACAGGTGGATGCGGCACGAATAATTGGTTAAATATGGCAGAATGTTGATAACATGACAACATAAAGTGAAAAGAAGTTATATAAGTATTTGCGTTCCTTCATTTACCTGCTAAAAAACGTACATAATGAACTTCTGAATATTCAACAAATTCTGAGCCCACATGGCGGAGCTAGGAGGGTTAACGGAAGGTATTTCATTAGGACTAATTCAGCTATTGGATCTTTTTTTCTTTTAGAACCATTTGGCATTTGGTATACTAGTCCGATTAATTGCAGTTTAGGCAAATGATAAACACTTTATCCTAAAAGTGGTATCAAATTAAAGTCGATGCCATGGGTTCGATTTTCAAGAGCAACATGTTTAACGAACAAGTGTTGGATAACACCATACACCCTATCTATGGCAGACATGAGTGATGGGAGTTCGCATTTAGTATCAACAAAAGTTGGTGTAGTACACACATTCAAGGTGTGTACGTAACTTTGCTTAATAATATCTTCTTCTCACCCACATCTCATTTGGTGAATATTTGGGTTTGATTTGCATATATTTATTTATGTGTTAATAGTCTTTCTTTTAACTACATAATAATTGGTTATCTTCACATAAAATGAGATACGTAAGAAATGATATTCCTATAATTCAATAGCAATTGATCAGACACGAGTGAACTTCTAACTGAGAAGGGGAACTAGAAAGTTGTCTCAAAAGGACATTTTTATTAGTTACATACTTAAGGAAACAAATTTACAACATATACAATAAAGGTTTCCCCACCATAATAAAAAGAACAGAAAAAAAACAAATTATTCACCACAGTGATCCAATCCACTTCATCGTAACAATCCCAAAAATTATTAAAATTTTGCAACAAAAAATAAGGCCAAATCAAAGTTCCTCTTAGTTTCGGAAGGCACAATGTTTTCGAATTTCCCCTGCTTTCCCAGTAAGGACTCCAATTTGTCCCATTTTCAGCATTGATTCTCCAAAATCCTTGAAGAAAGTTGATCCATGTTGATTTAATTGAGATAACACATAATGTTTTGTTTGAGTATCTGTAAGAAGAGCTGCATCAGACGCGAATAACCCTCTTCTTTTGCTAACCATACTGTAATAATCAGTGTCGAAACTCTTGAAACTTCCGGGGTCCATTTCAACAATTGTAGTAACATCTCCAGGTTTACATTTGATCTTCAAATGATTAATGTAGTTTTGGTCCATGTTTGGATCCATGTCACCTTTACCAGTGAAATTATACAAACGGCTCGAAAAGGAAAAACAATGTGACATCCCAATTGTGTGTCCTCCTATGAAGGAGAGGGGGAAAAAAGAGTAAGATTGTCGTCCAAGGGTAGTCAGTTGAACAAATATGTATATGAAAACTGAAACACTCTTAACGAAATTTACCTGATAGAACAACAAGGTCTTTAACATTTAGTCCCAATGCACCAAATGTAGTTTTGAGAGTAGTGAAGTTATCAAAAGGAGTTGGTAGGTTTTTTGAGGCCTCTGAGAGAATTGAGACTCTTCCATCTCTTCTTCCTAATGGGACTGACCATGTCGGTCCATTTATCTGTATTACAACGAAATATGATATTTTATTTTGATAGGACTAAAAAAAAAATATGACACATAAATTTAGACGAATAGAGTAATTTGTTACCAGTGAAACAGCGTCACGGGCAGCTAAGGCTAAAATATCAGAGCAAGATACTATGCCAGGGCACTCTTTCTCTAAAGCTGATTTAGCAGCATCTATCACTTGAAATCCTCTTAAGTTTTGATTTGGAATTGCATCTTTCTCTGCTTTATTTCCTTTTGTTGAATTTAGTAGCACTGAACCATCACATCCCTACAAAAAAAGAATTAGTGTTAAAAAAAAAGAGCTATATTGACGGTGTATGTATTCCATCTGTATCAATTTATGTGGCATTTTTTGTTTATCAAGAGTCAATCTGACTAATCTTCGAGACTAATGCATTAAATGATGTTACTTACCCTAACAAAACAATCATGAAAATGCATTCTTAACAAAGGGGCAGCCAAAGTAGGAGCAATAGAAATGTAGTGCTTTGTTGTTTCTTTAACAATGGCTTCCACATTTGGACATGTTTTCTTGTAGAATCCTACTTCCACACCTTCACAATTATTAGCAATCAAAAAGAGTTGAAGAATGAGAAATGAAAGAAATTTTAATGTTGCCATTAATATTTAATTTCTTTTTCTTCAACTAAATGTTTATGTTGTTATTTGCTTGGAAGGGATGATTTGAGAACAAAAATTCATGGCCTTTAAATAGGAATTAAGTAGACGGTGATGCATTTGAATTCTTTGATTTGTTTGAAGGGTAGATATGACATATAATTGAAAGTTGATTTTATTATTTAGTAGTTAGCACCTTCTTAACTAAACAATTTTTAATGTTCTTGTTAACAATATAAAAATAATATCAAGAGGAATATCTATTACTAATGTTGAGAGTAGTTATATTTGATTAGTTATGTTACGTTGTGCTTATGATTTGGTGTATTAAGGAAAGTTCTATCTTTAACCATGTTTATTCATGTAGTGATACTCTGTATATCATTTTATTACTTTGGGATCGCGTATACCAAACCGAACTTACTAATATTAAATTGAAAATCAATTTGGTATCGGTAGTGTTGATTTTTTTTTTTCTCTAAGTTAATTGATGTCAAATGCATTAGGGGAATCTGCAACCCACTCCCTTATTTTTCTCCTGCAAACTAAAATACTAATCATATACATGTATATCATTGCTTTTATACACTCTTCAATACTTAATTATAGGATATGGTTAGAATATTTATAATATTCCAAATTTTTGTTATATTAGAATCTCACATCGGTTAAGTGTATGAGTTGTACTTTTCTTATATGATTTCGGAAAATCCTTCTCACTCGAGCTTATTTATAGGGAAATTTAAAGTCTTAATGTTTCAAAATGATATTCGAGCTAGACTTCAAATGTCTAGTTTTGAGCGTGTCAAAATCATGCATGCATCGATCGGTTATATCGTATATTGTACGTCTACTATTATATAGCACAATCATAAGGAAATACAACTTGTATGAGTTTAAAAACTGGAATGATAAGATTATGACTAGCTAATATAAATGAAGTCAACAATACATTGAAATACAAATTAAATATTTGAAAATAAAAGAATAAGTAGTTTAGGCACATTAGTGTATAAGGAATCATGGATAGAGTTGAGAGTTGGTATGTATGTAAACTAGTTCTTTAGTTGTTAATAGTAGCAATGTAGAATAATGCATGTTATGATGCCTAAAATAAGTGTATTTTTTTTTTAATAAAAAAGGTTTGGTGAACAAAGTATCTTAGTTAGCGTGGTTCAGGGAGGGGCGCACCCCAAGGAGTGTGATTAGATAACAATGACTTCACAGGTTGAATATGTGACCTATAGTTCAGACAAAAATAATTTTACCGTTACTCCAAGACTCCCTTTCAATGGCCAAAATAAGTAACACAATTAAATTAGTAACAATGAAAATTCGACGGATAGAATCGATCCAAAAAAACCAGGGAATATTGATGAATGTTCATCGGGTTTTTTTCGCATAAAAATGCGTGAAAATTATACTTTTTTTAAGGAAAACCAACAGAGACCCTCGATTTTTTTAGGGAATCCATCGAGTTTTGAAGTGCGAAATCATAATTGAAGAGTATAAATAAAAACGGAAGAAATATTTTATCAAAAAACATATATGATCAAGTGATAAAACAATTTAATTAATAAATCAACCACACAACAGTACTAGTCCCTCTTGCATTTTCTAAAGGATATCTAGACCGTAAACAAAGAGAATTCATCCATTTCATGAGGATTTCAATGACAGATAATATGAGTCATAATTATTACAAATTCACTTTTGCTAGTTAAAAAAATTCATAAGTCTCCTAAACTGATATTTTCACGATCGAAATACTACATTATATATTAGCAAAAAGAACTAACATTAAAAAAAAGTTCTTAGCTTAGAAGGTGCTAACTACTAAATATTTAAAATCAACTCTCCATTACTAGCTCTACCATTTTAATTAAATCAAAGGATTGATATCATAATTTGTTTCCTATTTAAAGAGCATGCATTTGTGTGTTCCAATCATCAATCATTTCAAGATTTTAGTTTTCTCCACAAAAATAATATAATGGCAACATTAAAATTTCTTTCATTTCTCATTCTTCAACTTTTTTTGATTGTTAATAATTGTGAAGGTGTGGAAGTAGGATTCTATAAGAAAACATGTCCAAATGTGGAAGCCATTGTTAAAGAAACAACAAAGCACTACATTTCTATTGCTCCTACTTTGGCTGCCCCTTTGTTAAGAATGCATTTTCATGATTGTTTTGTTAGGGTAAGTAACATCATTTAATACATTAGTTTCGAAGATTAGTCAGATTGACTCTAGATAAACGAAAAATGCCACATAAATTGATACAGATGGAATACATACACCGTCAATATAGCTTCTTCTTTTTTTAGCACTAATTCTTTTTTTGTAGGGATGTGATGGTTCAGTGCTACTAAATTCAACAAAAGGAAATAAAGCAGAGAAAGATGCAATTCCAAATCAAAGCCTAAGAGGATTTCAAGTGATAGATGCTGCTAAATCTGCTTTAGAGAAAAAGTGTCCTGGCATTGTATCTTGCTCTGATATTTTAGCCTTAGCTGCTCGTGACGCAGTTTCACTGGTAACTAATTACTCTATACGCCTCAATTTATGTGTCATATTTTCTTTCTCAGGTCCGATCAAAATAAAATGTCATATTTCGTTGTAATACAGATAAATGGACCAACATGGTCAGTCCCCTTAGGAAGAAGAGATGGAAGAGTCTCAATTCTCTCAGAGGCCTCAAAAAACCTACCAACTCCTTTTGATAACTTCACTACTCTCAAAACTACATTTGGTGCATTGGGACTAAATGTTAAAGACCTTGTTGTTCTATCAGGTAAATTTCGTTACGAGTGTTCAAATTTTCATATACATATTTGTTCAACTAAGTACCCTTGGACGACAATCTTACTCTTTTTTTTCCCTCTCCTTCATAGGAGGACACACAATTGGGATGTCACATTGTTTTTCCTTTTCGAGTCGTTTGTACAATTTCACTGGCAAAGGTGACATGGATCCAAACATGGACCAAAACTACATTAATCATATGAAGATCAAATGTAGGCCTGCAGACGTGACTACAATTGTTGAAATGGATCCTGGAAGTTTCAAGAGTTTCGACACCGATTATTACACTATGGTTAGCAAAAGAAGAGGATTATTCGCATCTGATGCAGCTCTTCTTACAGATACTCAAACAAAACATTATGTGTTATCTCAATTAAATCCACATGGATCAACTTTCTTCAAGGATTTTGGTGAATCGATGGTGAAAATGGGACAAATAGGAATCCTTACGGGGAGAGCAGGGGAAATTCGAAAACATTGTGGTTTCAGAAACTAAGAGAAACTTTCATAAGCTATTTTTTTTTCTCTTTCAAGATTTTAATAATTTTTGAATTGTTATGTACTATGGTGGAGAAACCTTTATGTATATGTTGTAATTAATAAAATTGTTTGTTTTGCTTTACTAAGCATGGATGCACATGATTAGAATTGTCTCTCTTTTAAGTGTTTTCTCTTAACAAAAACAAATATTACTAAGAAATGAGCTTCTCTCAAGCAGAGTTCGCGGATCACATCATGCATTCTACAACCGTTAATTTTTCCATCAAATCTCGAACGATAAACGGAAATAAAACTTGTATCTTTAAGATCTTTCAAATTGCAAAATATAGAAAGCATGGTTTTTGGTGGTGATGCAAGTAATGGTCACTCAATGCCAACATTTCCATGCATTTGAGCAACAACATCTGTTCTTACTGTTGTACCAAGTATCTCTTGCTTGCCTTTTAGAATATTTTGCAGTCGATCTTCTAGCTCAGAGAAGAACCCATGATTTGAAGACTTCGGTGCACCAATATTATCTTAGGGCTTAGCTCAAAATTGAGCTTAAAATAAGCTTAAAACAAAAACACTCTAGCCAGATTTGAAGCCATATCTCATGGGTGGATCATTTGAATTGTACCAACAACTTAATGAAACTCATATGCTCTTCATGGGTGCACTGTTAATTATATCTTAATTTCTGTCAGTTTATCAAAATAGATAAACATATATACACATGATTTTTTTCAAAGTTAACAGGTGCACCTGCACCCCACCTAGAGGGGTGGGTCCGCCTCTGTAATCTAGCTGGTTCATCAGAGACAATGCAATTTGCTTTCCCTACTTTTATTAGAGAACTCATTTTCCTTATTTTCAAGGAGTTAGTCTTTTCTAAAGAAAATATTTTTCATTTTTCTTTACTAAAACAACTAATTAAGTATTGAAGCGTAGAGGTTATAGGGGTCGCAAAATCAGCCATAAAATCATAATCCACACAACCATTTAGGTTTGGGCGTGTTAATGACCTGCTTATTTTATTAACTCAACATAAGGAACAATAGACATAGATATATGTTCACCTAAAGCATACATTTTAGTTTGCAGATTCCCCTAATGCATTTGACATTAATAACTTAATATAGTAAGTTTGGTTTAGTGGTCGCAAAAGTAATAAAATGATAAATAGAGTACTATTTCTACATGAACTTGTGATTAATTATTAATTACACTACTAATGGGTTTTATTTGAAGCATCCACAACAAGAATTTTTTTTCATTGTCTAAGCACATGGTGGTAAGATTCGATCACAGGATCTCTACCTGCTTTAAAGAAAGAATACTTTTATTTAAGGATAAGCCGGTTTCTACCAAATACGACTCCACTCTGTTTTGACTTAATAGAGAGTTGATATTCCTCTTAACCTGATCTTTATATAATTAGAAAGAACTAACATTAAAAATTGCTTAGTTAAGAAGGTGCTAACTGCTAAATAATAAAATCAACTTTCCATTATATGCCAGCTCTGTCCATTTAATTGTTTTCATAATTTGCTTCCTATTTATAGGCCATGTATTTGTGTTTACCAATCATCCCTTCAAGCAAATAACAACATAGAGATTTGGTTAAGAGAAAACATAATATAATGGCAACATTAAAATTTCTTTCACTTCTCATTCTTCAACTCTTTTTTGTTGCTAATAATTGTGAAGGTGTGGAAGTAGGATTCTACAAGCAAACATGTCCAAATGTGGAAGCAATTGTCAAAGAAACAACAAAGCACTACATTTCTATTGCTCCTACTTTGGCTGCCCCTTTGTTGAGAATGCACTTCCATGATTGTTTTGTTAGGGTAAGCACCACTATTGAATGCATTAGTCTCGAAAATTAGTTAAACTGACTCTTGATAAATGAAAAACGTCACATAAATTGAGACAGGTGGACTACATACACCGTCAATATAGTTTTTTTTTTACACTAATTTCTTTTCTCCTTTTTGTTGTAGGGATGTGATGGTTCAGTGCTACTAAATTCAACAAAAGGAAATAAAGCAGAGAGAGATGCAATTCCAAATCAAAGCCTAAGAGGATTTCAAGTGATAGATGCTGCTAAATCAGCTTTAGAGAAAGAGTGCCCTGGCATAGTATCTTGCTCTGATATTTTAGCCTTAGCTGCCCGTGACGCTGTTTCACTGGTAACGAATTACTCTATTCGTCTCAATTTATGTGCCATATATTTTTTTTTAGTCCGATCAAAATAAAATATCATATTTCGTTGTAATACAGATAAATGGACCGACATGGTCAGTCCCATTAGGAAGAAGAGATGGAAGAGTCTCAATTCTCTCAGAGGCCTCAAAAAACCTACCAACTCCTTTTGATAACTTCACTACTCTCAAAACTACATTTGGTGCATTGGGACTAAATGTTAAAGACCTTGTTGTTCTATCAGGTAAATTTCGTTAAGAGTGTTTCAGTTTTCATATACATATTTGTTCAACTGACTACCCTTGGACGACAATCTTACTCTTTTTTCCCCCTCTCCTTCATAGGAGGACACACAATTGGGATGTCACATTGTTTTTCCTTTTCGAGCCGTTTGTATAATTTCACTGGTAAAGGTGACATGGATCCAAACATGGACCAAAACTACATTAATCATTTGAAGATCAAATGTAAACCTGGAGATGTTACTACAATTGTTGAAATGGACCCCGGAAGTTTCAAGAGTTTCGACACTGATTATTACAGTATGGTTAGCAAAAGAAGAGGGTTATTCGCGTCTGATGCAGCTCTTCTTACAGATACTCAAACAAAACATTATGTGTTATCTCAATTAAATCAACATGGATCAACTTTCTTCAAGGATTTTGGAGAATCAATGCTGAAAATGGGACAAATTGGAGTCCTTACTGGGAAAGCAGGGGAAATTCGAAAACATTGTGCCTTCCGAAACTAAGAGGAACTTTGATTTGGCCTTATTTTTTGTTGCAAAATTTTAATAATTTTTGGGATTGTTACGATGAAGTGGATTGGATCACTGTGGTGAATAATTTGTTTTTTTTCTGTTCTTTTTATTATGGTGGGGAAACCTTTATTGTATATGTTGTAAATTTGTTTCCTTAAGTATGTAACTAATAAAAATGTCCTTTTGAGACAACTTTCTAGTTCCCCTTCTCAGTTAGAAGTTCACTCGTGTCTGATCAATTGCTATTGAATTATAGGAATATCATTTCTTACGTATCTCATTTTATGTGAAGATAACCAATTATTATGTAGTTAAAAGAAAGACTATTAACACATAAATAAATATATGCAAATCAAACCCAAATATTCACCAAATGAGATGTGGGTGAGAAGAAGATATTATTAAGCAAAGTTACGTACACACCTTGAATGTGTGTACTACACCAACTTTTGTTGATACTAAATGCGAACTCCCATCACTCATGTCTGCCATAGATAGGGTGTATGGTGTTATCCAACACTTGTTCGTTAAACATGTTGCTCTTGAAAATCGAACCCATGGCATCGACTTTAATTTGATACCACTTTTAGGATAAAGTGTTTATCATTTGCCTAAACTGCAATTAATCGGACTAGTATACCAAATGCCAAATGGTTCTAAAAGAAAAAAAGATCCAATAGCTGAATTAGTCCTAATGAAATACCTTCCGTTAACCCTCCTAGCTCCGCCATGTGGGCTCAGAATTTGTTGAATATTCAGAAGTTCATTATGTACGTTTTTTAGCAGGTAAATGAAGGAACGCAAATACTTATATAACTTCTTTTCACTTTATGTTGTCATGTTATCAACATTCTGCCATATTTAACCAATTATTCGTGCCGCATCCACCTGTTTTAGAGTTCAGATATTCTATTTGAGGTGTCCACAGGAAAATTTGCAAAATGACAATTTCCTTGTATCTGTGTACTGATTCCCTTCAAATGCATAAGAGAAGTAGTAACAGTTCATGACCCTCAAATGTTGAAAGTCACAAGAGAGAGCCTTGATGATGTTCATATTCATTGCCCTACCGACAGTTGGATCTAAAACCTCTGATTGATTATTTCTTGCTTGAAACGTAAATGCCAGATATTATGGCCACTCCTGCAACTGCAACTCCAAGGGTTGTCACAATCTTCGCAACAGAAATGAGAGGTTTGGGTGACGGTATTGATAGTAGTTCCTTAACCTGTGGCAGCAAATAAGTACACAATAGCCTCTCAATAATTTTATGGGTAAGAAGCTCAAATTGAGTCTTACACTATGTGAATACGAAAAATCAATCAAGCTCTGTTTTCATATATTTTGCGATGCACAACAGAGGATATCCAAGTCTTACTGAAACTGTCAACAAGAAGAAATGTCTATTACCTCAATAGGTTGCTTCCAGTTCTTCTTGATTCCTGGAAGGTGACCCTTGCCAACAACTGCGACTACAGAGCTGTGTTCACAGGCAACTTTTATTAACATTGATGACATAAACCTGCAAAGAGAGAGTGGAAGATTCTTCATATTTGTTAGGTGGTACAAGTAAATTACTTTCAAGATTATCAAATGTCAAAGCCAACATGTTGGTTCAAAACACTCGCACTACATTTTTTTTTTCCAAGACAGGAAGAATGATGTTACTACTAGTCTGCTTGATTAGACAAATGAAACAATTTGTTCCAAGCACTAACATAGGACTTTCAAATCATTGGTAATTACAATACTATAGGTGAATTAGTCAAAGACTGATGACATTTAAGCTAAAGCATTTAGGCAAGATATTACTTTTTTCTTTAGTCCAACCAAACAATCACAAACTAGTACATCAATGGCTTTTTTCTTGGCACTACCCCCTTTATTTTTCTGTTGGGTGGTGGGTGTTAATGTCTGTTACCGCCATAAGATATTGAAATTCATTTCAGTCTAAGGGAGTACTATAGTAAAACTGGCTTTATTTCTGGGAAAACTAGAAGCAAACAAGGGAAGTGATAAGCAATAATGCTCTGGGGAGACTAGAAGTGAACAAAGGAAGTGACAAGCAATAAAACACGGAGATTCCTTGAGAAAACATTCATTAACCCTTCACCTAAAGGAGCACAACAGTGAGATAGAGTAACACTCTCGTGCTCTAGACCTCACAGACATATGAGTCCCTTGCTCATATTATTTGAGATTATATGAGTACATGAAAAAGACATTGTCCAACAGCCTATAATCAAACGTTATGTCAACCCACACTAAGAAAGAATACCTAAAGACATAGAAGTAACTAATCAGAGCATTCTCAATGTTTTGATTTGGATTGACTTGGTCATACAAAAGCCATCTAATTCTAAAATCTTTACAAATGCCAGACCTGATAGTATGTTCCTTATTCTAGACTCAAAGCCAACAAACAACTATAATCACCTTAAATACACCAAACAAAACCATAGAACAAGCAGGCAGCAAAACAAACTGGTATCATACCAACAGACCTCGCATGGGGCGAGGAGGAGGTTTCTGTTGTGTGTGTGTGTGTGTGTGTTTGGGGGAGGGGATAGTATGCAAGTGAGAGGACTAACTGATCTCGCTCATGAACTAGGGTATCCATAAGAGTAGGGAACTGCTTGCTCATTTCTTGAATCACAAGAGTCAACATGTCAACATCATCCATATCCTTCAACTGCCCACCAAAAATAGTTTGGCATAAGTAACATACGATATTCTTCTTCATAAATGAAATTACTTTATGCAGAGTGGGACAATCCTATAGAATCTTATGCAACAAACCTACCATTTTGACGAGATCTTCAGGCTTTGGTAAAAATACTGCTTGGAACAATAGAGAGTACACCAATTTTGTCTTGTGCCAAAGTGGCATTTTTGCCCATGTTCTTCGTAATGTCACCTGTTCATAATACAAGATACAACAATTCATTATACTGAAAAACAAATGAAAAACCAAAGATACCAAGCAAAGCAGCAGTGAATATGCAACTGTTTTTTCTTTTCTTTTCTTCATGTGCAACATGGACCAAAACTACATTAATCATTTGAAGATCAAATGTAAACCTGGAGATGTTACTACAATTGTTGAAATGGACCCCGGAAGTTTCAAGAGTTTCGACACTGATTATTACAGTATGGTTAGCAAAAGAAGAGGGTTATTCGCGTCTGATGCAGCTCTTCTTACAGATACTCAAACAAAACATTATGTGTTATCTCAATTAAATCAACATGGATCAACTTTCTTCATGGATTTTGGCGAATCAATGGTGAAAATGGGACAAATTGGAGTCCTTACTGGGAATGCAGGGGAAATTCGAAAACATTGTGCCTTCAGAAACTAAGAAAAAACCTTGATTTGGTCTTTTTTTTTTGTTGCAAGATTTTAGTCATTTTCGTATTGTTTATGTTCAATTGAATAATCTTTTTCCAGTTCTGATTGTATAGTGTAACTTGTAAATTTTTATTTGATTCCTAAGCATGTAACAAATAAAAAATATTGTTTGGCTTTCACTAGCACACATTCTGATTTTGTTTTTCTTATTTTTAGTGCATCAGACTGTCTTTTTCTTTGAATTTCAAGAACAGTTGAAAAGAGCGCACAACTAGCATGAGGTAAATTCATAAATAACCAATTTTTAGCCATCTTTGTGATCATTCTATTGATTAGCTGGATAGCTCGATTTTGTAAAAAGTATCTATAAATAAACTCGTCAAGGTCAGGGGATCTCGATCTATACTACTTGAATAAAGTACAAAATAACAATTTTAACCATGCATGCTAATACAATTGAAGCAACATTTTTATTAGTCACATGCTCAACAAACTAATTACAATAAAGGTACATTTACCACCACAAGATACATTCTTCGTGAATTGATTAGAACAAAAAAGAAAAAGAAAACGAAAATGACTAAAATCTTTTTGATAGAGAAATAACTTCACAAAAATTATTCCTCTTAGTTTATAAAAGCACATTTTTTTCTAATTTCGCCCGATTTCTCAGTAAGGACTCCAATTTTTCCCATATTCACCATTGACACCCCAAAATCCTCAAAAAAAGTTGATCCACTAGAACTTAATTGTGCCAAAACATAAGCTTTTGTTTGTTTATCTGTGAGAAGTGTTGCATCAGATACAAAAAGGCCTCTTCTTTTGCTAACCAAAGTGTAATAATCAGTGTCAAATGTTTTGAAACTTCCAGGGTCCATTTCAACTGTGGTGGTCACATCATTGGGCTTACATTTTGTCTTCAATTGGGCTATATATTTTTTGTCCATGTTTGGGTCCATATCACCTTTACCAGTAAAATTGTACATACGACTACCAAACGAAAAACAATGTGATACTCCAAGCGTGTGTCCACCTATATATATGAAATAAGTTAGGACCAAAAAATAAGTAAAGGATATAGGGTTAGTAGAATGTTCGATCCCACAGTTATAAGTAAATTTTAGTTCAGATCTTTGTGATACGTGACTAAGCATGTATAACCTTGCATTTATTGAAAGTGTGGTGTAACGGTACAAATTTAACATAGGAAACTACCTTATTAAACATACATTCATATTATATATATATATATATATATATAAAAATTCTATTTATACTTTTAAATAATTATGTATCTTACCTCTAATTAAGAGTTTTTTATCATATATTGAGGAAAATACACTTATATACATGTATTTTTGCTACCAGATATACTAAATTAATAGAGAGAGAGGCGAGTGAGATAGTCATGTATCCCAGATACATTCAAATCACACTAGATACATGTATGTATATGTAACTGGTGTGATTCACATATATTTGGGATGCCATATAGATAGGAGAGTGGCGAGTGAGATGAGAGGGAGGTGAGAGAGATTTGTTATGTATTCCAGATACATGTGAATCCACTAGGATAAAGTGTATTTATATATAATAAGTTACACCTAATTTTGACCTCATTTATCATGTATATATGTATCTTAACACACCAAAACTTAGTAAGATTAGTAATATTGCAAACTAAAGTATATCTAAATAAGTAATTAGCTCCGAAACTAATATGATTTTCGTAAGTTTCCCTTTATCATAATACAAAGGTAGGTAGTCAAATGAAATTATAATTTTTACCTGATAAAACAACAAGGTCTTTTACACTTAGGCCCAATGAACCAAATCTTGTTTTTAGAGTAGTGAAATTATCAAAAGGAGTTGGTAAATTTGTTGTGGCTTCTGAGAGAATTGAAACTCTCCCATCTCTTCTTCCCAATGGTACTTGCCATGTTGGTCCATTAATCTGCAAAAAAACAAACAAACATAATTAACATGTTCAAAGAAAAACTAATTGTGTAGAAACTTTATTTGATAACTCTTTAATTTAAATTTTTCACACGACAAGTATAAATTCACGAAATTAAAGGGCATTTTTACATTCTACATATCGTTCATTTAACACCACAAGATTTAATAGTCTTTTATATTTTCTTAAACGTCATGTCAAGTTAAAATCAGATAACTAAATTAAAACGAAGAAAATAATTATTTACCAATGAAACAGCATCACGAGCTACTAAGGCTAAAATATCAGCACAAGACACAACGCCAGGGCACTGTTTTTCTAAAGCAGATTTAGCAGCATCAATCACTTGGAATCCTCTTAGACTTAGGTTTGCAATTGCATCTTTCTCAGCTTGATTACTTTTAGTAGAATTTAGTAACACTGAGCCATCACATCCCTACAACATCAAAATAGAAATTAATTTAAGAAAAATAACTCACTGTTTTATACATATATATCATATCACCCTTACGCTCGTAGAAAATATAGAGAACTTTTAATAATGATAAGGAATATATAGCTGACTCCAACGTGACCGGAATAATGTGGTTACTGTTGTCTTTGATCACTTCTACTCCTTTGTAGATGGTACTTGGTAGTATAGTAAATGACAAATATTGAGTAACATGTTATAATTATATGACATTATTACAATGTATTAAATTCAAAACCATATAGTATAGTAAATAAAATAATTTTGCTTACCCTAACAAAACAATCATGAAAATGCATTCTCAACAAAGGAGCAGCCAAAGTAGGAGCAATAGAAACATAGTCAACAACAGCCTTTTTCACAATTTTTTCAACATTTGGACATGTTTTCTTGTAGAACCCTACTTCAATGCCTTGTGAATTAACAAATCCCAATACAATTGCAAAATAAATTATGAAAATAGAAAGAAATTTTAGTGTTGCCATTTTTTAAAAAAATTGGCAAAAAGATGAAGAAATTAATTAAGCTTTTCTTAATTTGCTTGTTTGAAGTGATGATTAATTAGGGGCACAAATGTATGCTATTTAAATAGGAAGGATATTTGGTGACATATCACTTCTTTGATTATGTAAGCTGGTATTAATTTTAAGGGTGTGTTTGGTACAAAGGAAAATGTTTATCTAGAAAATAAGTGAGTTTCTTAATTATTTTTTAGTGTTTTGTATGTGAACAAGAATATTATCTCCAAAATATATATATGTAACCTAGTGTATATAATACTATGGGGTGGGGAGTAGGGGTAATCAAGGGTGACGAAAGGTGGGATATATAGTCGCACTACAATAAAAAAGGATTTTGCAGTAATTATATAATTGTCGTTATATTATAGCTAGAAGTAACATAATATGAGTATTTATAATCAACACTCTATATACATATCGTTAAAAGCCTTAGCGACTCTGGATGCAATTGTATTAACTCAATTGCTGCTAAATACTTTTGCAGTTAATAATTATTACCACTAAAAGGATAATTTATTGCCACTAAATGTCTCTTTTACTGTAGTGCGATCAAGATATGAGGATTGGGATCATGGGTTTTGTTCGAATGGATGAAGTCCATTCTCTCTTACTAGTCTTGGTATTACACTATCGCGGAGGGAAAAAAATTTCATCTTGAATGGGAGAGAGACAATGAACTCGGAACATCACTTATGGATTTGTTGAAATTTCATTTTCCTCATTTTTAAGAAACTTATTTTTCTAAACAGAAAATATCTTAACTAATCAAACATGGAAAATTATAAAATATTTTTTAATTCATCCCAAGCACGCCCTAAATTGAAATTGAGTTTACTATTTGGCAGTTAGCACTTCCCATGCAAAGCAATTTTTAATGTAATTGTTTTTAATATATATATATATATATATGCAAAATAGACTGCCAAACAACCCTCAATAAAAAACATAAAAGGACTAAGCTTTCTATGAAATAGATGTGGCTATTTTTTAAATCAATTTGATGCTGATAAGAGCCATAATTAAAATTTTAATTTAAGAATTTTGAATCATGGTTTGTTTTGCTTACTGAGTTTATAGGTAATTGTACATGTTAAATAAATTTTAACACAGAATAAATTAAAAGTTTAAGTCAAAATTACTTAATTTTGTTGAACTTATTATAACTATTATTATTGCTCCGCCCCTAACTACTAAAAGTTAATTTAGAACTAGCTACGACCTAGCTAATTCGTTGCTAATTAAAATTTTCATTGCCAACATGACTTTTTTGATCAAGCATCACTAATTTGTTGTCAAATAAGATTAGCAAATGATTTTGTTGTTTAGTTATAAAATTTGTTTGTCCCTAATATTTATTTTTAGTAATGTATGCTAATGTTGTGACGTTGATCTGTTTTGGTCATTCTTGAAATGAAAAAGATTAACCAAGTTAATAAATTGACAGGTTATTGACTTAACCACATGCTACTTAAGCTAAGATGAGCTAGATCAAGATGGACTAAACATATAGATCATAACTCAATAAATTCGATTTTTATAAGCTTAAATTTTTTAATTAATTTCTAATAATTTTTTTAAATTACTTTATAAAACATGTTTTTTTTATTATGACTAAAAAATAACATATCAAACATAAAAAGATATATTTAAAAATATTTTGATAAAAGAATTTCATTAACTGAATTAGACGGATAAAATGAATTGAGTTAATAAATGATGCTGACATCATGTTTCTATAGATTAATTTTATCACTTTTATATATGTGTGTCGGCACTAGAAAAATAAAATTCTTTTTTCAAGCCCTTTTCTTTGGAATAGTGAAAAAAATATATATTATTTTGGTGAATTTGGTAGTAATATTTATAAATTAAAAAGAGTCCATTTTCTAATAAGAAAGAAATATGTATCATGCATGTTTTATAAACTTAATCATTTAATTGATGTTCAGCCAATCGAATTTTAAGTTTTGTAGAGTTGACCTTCTTCTCATTAGGAATCTGATTATTTTTTTTAATTAAGAATCGGAAATCGTTTCTTTACCTTTAAAGTTAAGGTTACGGTCTATGTATATTCTATTCTGCTTAAATTCGAAGATAATGTTATGATTTGTATCTATTTTATTCATTTTAAACTCCACTTATGAGATTACACTGAAATTTTATATATATTGATTGACTCACAAAACCAACTTGCTGTTGGACTCTGCTTATCACTATTAATTAATTCACACATGGAAAAACAAATTAAACAGGTTGAGTACTTTAATATGAGAATACTAGGAGTCGTTTGGTAGAGTGTATTAGGAGAAATAATGCATGCATTAGTTTTGTATGTTAGTAATATTTGATTTGGTATACTTTTTTCCGCTATGCATAACTAATACAAACATTAGTTATATACTCTATTGTATATTAAGGTGTGTATTACTAATATCATGGATTTCTAGGTATTAGCTATGCAAGAAAAATAATGCATGCATTAGTATGGTTAAAGACTCAATTACCCCTCAAAATCTTTTTTACATGTTTTCCACCATAATTGTGAAGGATATTTTTGTAAATAATTTTTTTATGCAATGCATGCAATTTTAATACACCAAAACAAACAATGCATAAGAAATAATCTATGTATAATTAATGCAAACATAACTAATACAAACATTAATAAATAATAATACACTCTATTTAGTATTATTTTTTATACACTTTACCAAACGACTCCAGACTTCATTTGTTTGTGGTTGCAATAAATTTTTCTGATCTCATTAGGATTGATAAGGTAAGATCTAACTCCCCTTGTTTGTAATTATTCACATTGAAGATTTTATTTTATTAATAATGACCATTAGACAGAGACGTTTTGTCTAATGATAAAAATTTGTCCTAAAAAAACGCAATCACAAAATACTTTAATTATTAAGAATTTGAGTACAATTTTGTTTGTTTTTAAATTTTTCTCATTGAATTATTTTTGTGATTCGAGAAATGTTAGTAGCATATTTTCGAATGTAGGATGATCCAGGTCTCCTTGCGATGCCGAGTAGGTTTTGAGAAAAACAATATAACTAGACTTGGATTCGTTTTGGGCTCAACTGTGAGTAACTAAACCTTTGGGCCTGACTTCTACATGAAGTCCAGTCTATTTAGATGTTTTTCAATTTAGCCATTTGGGAAGAATTTAGCAAATAGCCAATTTGAATTGTTAATTAGTAATGGACGTTCGATTTTGGCTTGATGTTTAACTATTCGATTTTAATTTTTCGGAATGAGACCCATTCTTCCACAACAATTGTTGATACAAAATTAGAAAGCTTCCGTGAAATTCGATTGCCATGATAAATTTTATTTTCTCGCGATTGTATCATATCTCTTGTAAGGTCAGAATCAGGATTTTCATTAAACGAATTCAAAATATATATTAAAAAAATGTACAATGATGTTAAAGAAACACAACATCTATTTATATAAAATTTAATCTATATCTAGTATAATTTTCATTCTTGTCTTCTAATATCTTTAATTACCAGAGATGTGCACCTTTGATCCCTTTGTTTATAAATATTCAAAAGAAAATCAAATTTATTAACTATTTAGCTATTTCGTTACTCCTATTTTATGTTAAAATTATATTGTCATTCACTATCTAAATTCTGAGGGTAATTTACTTTTAAAAATAATCTAAATATAATATATTTTCTATATAGAGGGACTAATATTCATTTTAATTGATTGGACGCTAAATATGAAGATAATAATTCAGAAGATCACCCCACTATTGCTAATTGTATAACAAACTCATTTTGTTTTTGGTAACAAGGTCACTAATTTTGGCTATATCTCTTCAAAAGTCACTATTAATATTTGGCTAACAAAATATGGCATGATATTATATTTAGTCAAAATATACTTTTTCTTTTTCATTTTTCAACCCACATGGCAATAAAACCCGACCCAACCCGACCCAAGCCATACCCCAAATTAACCCTATTGATCACATAATGAATTAGGTCTCAGTAGAATTTTCGCTTTTTTCTCATATCTCAGGCCACAATCGAATTTATAAAGAAAAAAAAGTAGTTCCTCTAGTTTATTATAATTACAAGGACAAATCCAACCTTTTCCCAAAAGAAATATTTTTGTAAAATACTCAATAAATTTTTACCTTAGTTTTTTCCTAATAATTTTGAGTGGTAATTAATTGATAGAGAAACTTCTTGACAATACCTACTACAAAAAGTTGTATTGGTGAAAAACAACTTCCCAACTACCCCCCTTATTGGACCACATGACAACTACCATTCTTGTTAATTTGGCCTTTTCCTTCAATCCCCCAGTCTTGTTTTTTTTAATTAGTATCAAAAATCATGGCCACGAGGGTTATTTGTCCTTTAGATTCTTTTGTCAATCTCCAAGGAGTTGTTTGGTACGAAGATGAGACAAATAGACTAAACGATCGGTTAGGGGTTGTTTGGTAGATGGGCGCTCTTCAAGGCTTACTTGGTATCGGGAATGGACTAGATAAAGGTATTTCATGAGAATAGTTATCCTACTATATATATATAAAATTTATTTCATCGTTATAATGTAATGATCGAGATAATAAATAATCATTAGACTAACTAATACTCATTCCGTTCATATTTATTATGTCGTCCTTACTAAAAATAGGTGTTCTTTAATACTTGTCATTTTACAAAATCAATATATAAATAACATTATTCTTTCTATTTTACCCTTGAGAGTTATTAGTATCTTGAAAATATGAATTTGACCAACATAGGAAAACTAAATGATTAATTCACGTTCACTGTTCAATTTAATAATTAATCAAAATAAATTAATTTATGTTTACTTATCGTAAACTTGACTTCAATAGATCACCACATACATACGGGTACAGTGGTAAACTTACCTAGTTTCTTAAGGGAAGTGAAATCTAAAATGATGATATATAAATACAAACGGAGGGAATATCCCTTAAGAAGTGTTGGATGAAATCATATTGCATCTTATCCAATATTATTACTCCCTCTGTCCCAATTTATATGACTTACTTTCCTTTTTAGTCAGTCCCAAAAAGAATGACACATTTCTATTTTAAATAACAATTTAGCTATAAAATGTCTATTTTACCCTTAATGAAATGATTTACAGCCACACAAATTCCTATCATTTATTTTGGACCACAAGTTTTAAAAGTCTTCCTTCCTTTCTTAAATTTCGTGTCGAGTCAAAGTATCTCATATAAAATGGGACAGAGGGAGTATCTTTTATCCCTCGTACCAAACTAACTATGCTATCTTCTTCTAGTGTACAATTTTCCTCTATATATAGTTTGGTTCTAGCTATTCTTCTTTAGCTCTTCATCGCTACTGTTTTTAAATATTTGCCAAATTATTTCCATCTCTAATGGCTGATTTGGATAGTTCAAGCACATCAAATAATGCCTTCATAGACTCCCCTTGTAAGTTCGTAATTTTTCAAATATGTAAATTTTTACTGTTCTATTATGTCACTCATGTATTTAGATAAATTTGTGGTATTACTTCATATTTGATAATAATATAGTTTTAGATACAATCTCATTGTAATATATTCTTTTATAAGATAAAATTAAAATTTATCAAGAAAGACTCAAAGTATTAATATTCACTAGGGGCGTAGCAAGGTAGGAACCTCATCCGGCAAAAAATAAAATACACTATTTATATATGATTGAAATTATTTTTTGTGTATTTATAATAGAGGCTGAATCTCCCTCGACTTTACATTTGTTTGTTTCATTATATTTTAAATTCTCTTAATAAAATTCCTAACTCCGCTACTAAATATCCGGAAGGAATAATCTCATGTTATTGTTTCCAATGATGTGTTTAATTAGCATTTGAGGCCAAAAAGGAAGAGAGCTCGAAGCTTGAATTTTCCCAAGATGAGGAAATCCTTATTACTAAAATGTTCAACTTGGTTGGTGAGAGGTAATTCATCAGTGTATAATCTTTTTATATTATTTAAATTCCTATATCTTAATTGTCTGTACATTTTTCTTGTCTAGCTAGCTGTTATTTTGAAAAAAATAATTAACATTTTCTATATTTAGATTATGCATACTCTATTTGTCTGTCTTTTTTTTCCATTCGGTGAACTCGAACTTGAGATATCTGATTAAAGATGAAAAATACTAATCACTCCATCACAATCCTTGTTGGTACTCTATCCATCTTGTTTTAACTGTGTTTTAATTTTTTTACCTTCTCATTAATATAAATAGGAAATATAAGGTATAATTTATTAAGTTACTCTTATTTAATAAAGATAGAATGATTTTTCCTCTTAAATATTGTTTTTATTTCTTTAATATGAAGAATATAATGGAAAATGATTGTCAATTTTAATTTTGAATTTCTAAAGTGATAGTTATTCTGATCATTGGGACAATTTTCTTGAACTAAAGTAACAATTAAGAGTAAGTATTACTTCGATAAGTTCTTTAACTAAAGGTCTTGAGTTTGAGTACCCCTGGTTAAAGAGTCGCTTTTGTTAGGAAGCGCTTTATTCCCCGGGACTTTCTGACACATATCCAAATTTAGTTGGGCTCCAATGTGAGTACCAGCCACCAAGTGGGGAAAAAAAAGTTGTTCGATAAGTTACATCGATTTGATTTAAACAGTGTGATGATTAAATATTACTTTCACAATTTTATTTTACTTGTCCACTCTCTCCTTTGTGTCTCATAAGAAATCATAAATAAGAAAAATAGTTTTACTAATTAACCTTTTTAAAATCCTTTTAATACATTCTATTTAAGTGTCATTTTTAATCAATAAATACTGTCATTTGATTAGGTGGTCATTAATTGCTGGAAGAATTCCAGGGAGAACTGCAGAAGAAATTGAGAAGTATTGGAACTCAAGAAATTCCACCAGCCAATAAATATTTTCTTCTTTCTATATATAGAGCTACAAAAGCAGAAAATATTTATTATCACTTCCTTCCTTATTGTTTATTTGAGATGGTTTTGTAGAACAATATGAAAAAAAAGAAGAAGTGAACATTGGATTGGAATAAATATATTGTGATTTAGAGCGGATATATTCCTCGTTAAAAATATTAGTGTATATATACCTTCGTCGGGTAACAAATGTTGCATATATACTCTCCACGTCTAACAAATGATGCATATCTATCTTTGTTATTTATTGGGAAAAGGGTCTGAAAAATACTCTAACTTTGGCCGAAATTGTTGTTACGATACCAAATTTTATGGAGGACCTTTAATTTTACCCCCTGAACTATTTAATAATATATTTTAAAGGTATATATGTGCCCACGTGGACATGTTACTATTTATAATGATGAAATATTTATGATGTCCACGTGGGCACATATATACCTTTAAAATAAACTATTAAATAGTGCATGAGGGTAAAAGGTCCTTTCCAAAGTTCTTTACAGCAATTTCGATCAAAATTCGAATATATTTCAAACATTTTTCCCTTATTTATTTAACGGACTGAATTAAACAAAAATAATCCTAAAATAGGGTTTATATATAATTTCAACCAACTCGACATAGAAATATTGAAAATATAATATTTTGCTATCATTTTTCGTTTTAATGATATTTAGTGTTAGGTATACCTAATAGAATTTGTCACTTGGTGCCTTGCATCAACTAACAAAAAAAAAATAGTAATACTTTTTCAACATATATATGACAAAGTATAATCAAAATGGGAGGGGGAAAACAAGAAAATTAAGTACTTAAACAAACTTGTTTTCATAGAATCAAACAATGATATACAATTACATGAATAGGAAAATTAAAATTCAAAACCAAGCAAAGATCGAAATCAAAATTGCAATCATAAATTAACTAAATTTGTCAAATAAACACATTTTCAATAATTTGAATATGTCTTTAAAACAACCCCTCATGTGCGTGTCAGACTATATCCTCTCAATAGGGTGAGTAGAGAAAGACGATATAAGATAATGAAGATATAAGGAGACAAAAGAGCCCATAATCAGAAGACGAAAGGTTGTTGCTCCCGGAACCACCACCTCCTCCACCACCACCCTTGCTACGCCGCTGCCCATCACGGTATCGGAGAGGAGGAACACGGCCATGAGTACAATAAGAACTATAGCCATTTTAGATGTAATAGCCATCTTCTCAATTCTCAAAACTATGCAAAACAATATATAGGTCGTGCAATATTTAGATATATATAGTTGTAAATAAGTCAACGCAATACTATTTTGAATATAATTAACCTATGGACGGTGGATGTGTTGTATTATCGGTCTTAATTTATGTATATCTTCATTAAAAGTGATATAAAATTTAAGAAAGAAGGGATTTTTTTAAAAAAATTATAGTCTAAAATAATCTTTCGACATTTGTGTGATCATAAATTATTTCATTGTATAAAATAATTTTATTTAATTATAAATAAATTATATTTTATCTGGAGTGAACTAAAAAAAACAGGAGAAAAAGAAAGAGTAGTAAATAGTATCTTAATATTCTATGATATCTTCAAAAAGGTTTATTTGTTTATGATATTCATAAAATCAAATGCACGACGTGTGTTATAATACATAAATTTTTATTATTTAATTGTGAATAAATTAGTTACTTTTTTATTTTGTTTTAAAAGTTTTGATATTATTTACAAAAGATTAGGGCGGCCCTCATTGACTTAGATATACAGGCTATATTAATGTAAGCCCAAAATAGTTCAAATTGGTAGAAATAGTATCCATCAGTCATTTTTCGGCAAATAATTATGGAAAAATTACCTAAGTACACTCATAATCTCTAAAATTTTCTATCATTAAAAAAAATCAAAAATCCCCTCTCGAAGTTAAAAGTCAAAACTTAAAAGGTTTTTTTTGGGGGGATCAACATGTTAAAAGTTCAAGAGGCTATCCTTTATAATTATGGCTATTTGTGAAATTTTTTCCCAAATTTGTTTGGTTTCAAGATTGATCAAGAAAATAATTAAGGCCCAGCCACTAAAATTCCCTCTTTTTTTATTTGTTTATTTGGAAAATAAATGTGATAACTATTTTTCTTAAATTAATACATTTAAGTTCTTTCAAATTTACATAATTTTCAGTCTCCAACTCAACCCATCAGATTAAGTTCCCAAACAAGTCATAGTCCGATCCACTAAAACTTTAGTCTATTCTACTTTAAAACGAGTTGATTTTGTCACCCCTATTTCCAAGCCAGTGGCCAGAATGTAGAACAAAGAAAATGTGTTTATTTTATGAAAAAAATAGGAACTCTAGAATTATTTTAACATTTAAATTATGGAATGCAAGTAGCATAATATATTTTAGCTTTGAATAATTCTGGTGATTTTCAAATTATTCTGGGCAATATTTTGGGCCCTCTAAATGTTCAAGGATATCATTTTGTGTCTCCTTTTGGACTTTAATTTTATTTACGAGATTACAAGTTAAAACCACATATTTTTTTAGTAGCAACTAGCAACATATGATAAATATACACTATTATATTGTGCGTAATACTCCCTCTGTCTCAAAATAAGTGTTACTAGTTAGCAAAATGTCATCTTCAAGACAAAAATCAGTATGTTTTTTCAACTATACCCTTATATTAAAGAATTGCTGTTTTTTAATGTTTCTCAATTTTAAAGAAATATCTAATAAATAATATTGATCTTTCAGTTTTTTTTTTTAATGAGCATAAAATTAAGTTAACATGATATTTACTGTATCTTAATAAATGCATATAAGAGCCCGTATAGCTCAGTGGTAGAGCGTCAGTCTTGTAAACTGAAGGTCTGTAGTTCGATCCTGCATGTGGGCATTATAGTTTTTTTTGTATTGCTAAAGGGCGATCTACCTATCGGATCGAGTGTTTTTTATTTCATGCATTAAAAAAAAAAATCGTGCTGCTAGAGGGCGATCGACCTATCGGATTGAATGTTTTTTTTTCCATGGTAAAAGAACATATTAAGCAAACCTTTTTATTTGATTGAAATGGAAAACATGATTAGAATTTTACAAAGTTCAAGAGGTGTTGAGGAGAAAGTAAGCAACTCAAAAAGTCTTTTTTTTTTTTTTTAATTTAAGGAGTCTAGTTGGTTGAAAATTACAATAAATAATAAATATAAAGTCATAAAATTTAAATTCTAAATTCATCTTTAAAAGGTACGAATCACGCAAAAAAAAAATATAAGAAGATAAACTGTTATACCCGAACAAGATAATATGGGAGCTCAATATCCTGTGAAACAAAAATTTGATGGGCTTGACTGTGAATTTGTAATAACATGATAAAAAATGGACATTGATTCTAAACATTACCTCAACAATTGAATTACTCAAATATATTAGGATATATACTAAACAAGAAATCAGAATTAATTAGTGATGAATATATCTCTAATCCGTCGTTAAATTACCATAAATTACAGTATATAACGATACTACCAAAAAAAAAAATAGCTATGAACTTTATCAGTAATTCAGAGACAAATTACCATAGCTAACCTATCTTTACGATAATGATGGATTAATAATTCATTTTTATATACAGTTAGCGGTGAATATTTCTATTTTGCTATAAAATTTATCTGTCGTTGATTCGAAGTAGCGGGGGACAACTACTATCATCCACCCTCGGATTAATGTGGAACTAATACTAACAAAAAGAAACAATATCTAGACTAGTGTAGTTGAAAATCATAGATACCTAGGAGAATATTCTTGCCTTGCAATATAAGAAATTTTATTTTTATTTAATAATTAAAACAAATCATCACATGATTGTGAAGGACCACGGAGTATTAAATCTAAAGTAGCATAGTTCATGGTCATTTTTTTTCTAGATTGTCCAATTGTATTGATATATTAACACAATTTTATTGAGCAATCTTAGGGATACAATTATGCTTGTCATGGAGTTCGCATATTTGAAATCGAAACAAACAAGATTCTTTCACAATTACAATAAATCAATTTAACTAAAGAAATTTATGTGAAATACCTTTACGCTTGAACAAGTATAATAGTGACAATGAAAAATTGTGTACGATGTATCCAATTTTTTAAAAACTAATTAGAATCCAAGAGTATATGCATAGACTAGGTAATTAATCAAATAAATGAATACATTTTCTTTTCTTGATTACACACATATAATTGTATTTGAATGTTGAACACAATGAAATACATATACATTTGAATACTTGGTATTTTTTCATGGATTGTCCAATTGGAAATACTAGTGCATTTGGATACATAAATACATTACATAGATTTGAATGTACACGTATACAACACATTTATTTTTTTATAAAGTGAAATACATATACATTTGGATAATCATATTGTAGTATAGTTCATTGTCATTTTTTTCTAGATTGTCAAACTGTATTGATATATCAACACAATTGTATTGAGCAATTTTAGAGATACATTTATTCTTGTCATGGAGGCGTATTTGAAATCGAAACAAACAAGATTAATTCACAATTACAGTAAATCAATTTAACTAAAGAAATTTATGTGAAATATCTTTACGCTTGAACAAGAACAATAGCGACAATGAAAATTTGTGTACGATGTATCCTATTTTTTTTAAAAAAAAACTAATTGAAATCCAAGAATATAGGCATTGACTATGTAATCATTATAGTTGTTAATGTAATAGTGGAAAGTTTAAAATTTTAGGACATAATTAAAGGGATTCAGTTATAGTATCATAAATTACCTTATTTAATGCACTATAATTCTAATTGTATAACTGTATAATTAAAAAAATAATACACAGATACAGCTAGATATTCATATAAAATGTAGTCATTTTTAGTAAATAACATACTTATAGCTATTGAACTTCAATAACACTATAAATATAGTTATTTATGTAAGTTGCTCTTTTAAATATGTTTGGTATGATAAATTTGCTTAAACATATTCATCATATTTATTAATCCAATTATTAATAGAATTACTAGCCGGAGTCAGATGATTGACTAATTTTGATTTGATGCGAAGTTTAAAAAGTTATTATAGGTGACAAATAGAATAAATCTTAAAGGAAAGTTG